AAAGAGTGTCTTAAGAAGAGAAGTTCCTTGTCCTAGAAAGGTACTTTATGGAATATTATTGCAGAGGATGGTTACTTCCATGTTCCCATCTCCACGGAGAAAAACAAGAAATGGTGGGCTTAAGGCAGTGTTTCTAATCTATGGACGTCAACAGACAAATCAAAGCCCACCATTTCTTCTAGAAGGGGATCTAGTACTTGACCACAGAACTCTTGTTTCATGGAGCATTTTATGGATACTGGTATTGTGTGAAACACATTTTAGGAAATTATGGTTTCAGATATGATGCAGAAACTTAAACTAGACTTTTGAAATAACTTCCTGATTGATTATGGTCAGATCCTGGGACTGGTGGCCAAGGAACACTGAAGTTTCCTTCCTTGGAGGGTTGGTAGACTCTTCCTCTCTCCCTTTAATACCAGCATTAGACAGCCATCTGCCTGGGAGCCTTGGGGTATAGGTCGGTGACACAGGGAATCTGGGAGTCTAGATCCTTCCCATCCCCAGAATCTATTTTTATGGATCTCAATCATGGTAGTGTTCCACGGAAGGTACAGCCTAGCTAGGACTGAGGGTTTTGGCTAAGAGGAGAGGGGGCTAGAGATGGGAAAAGTTGATGCAATTATTTTTGGCAGGCGTTGGAACCAAAGCAGCAGGAGAGAGTAAGTTTTAAGACTCTCTGGCAAAGTAACTTCCTAATCTGTCACTGGGTATGTGTAAAAAAGTGATTAGTGGGTCTCTATATTTATCACGATTACTCACAAATATGTAATTTACATAATATATACAGCACATTAAGTACTATGTCACCTTATATAATGTCCATATGTATAATGTATATGCATGTTATGTAACGCCAGTCTGGAGGTTCTTCCAGATTCTGCCAAGTATTTCCTAATTTATTTGGCAATTTTAACATATCTTTTCCATCTGTGGAAAGAACTCTCTTGAGAGGAGCTGGTCTCTGACCTGAAATATAATCATTCTACTAAGTCTGTCTCCATTCTCAACTCACTGGAGGAAACCTACAAAGACCAAGTCATAATGAGATGCAACGCCTAGCCCATTAGTCCAGGGACAACATAATGTATTGAAGACTTCCTGTTTCATTCTTTTTACTGCTAGAGGGGTAGAACTGTGGGGGCAGGTGAGAACATGTCTGGGGCACGGCCAGAATCAGAATGCGATGAGGAATAAGGGAGGATTCTCCCCTGACTGCCTAACTTTGAGAAGTCACTAAATTATAGTAAGCCTTGCTTTCCTCATTATTTAGATGGGGCTAATAATATCTTCTCTGTCAACCTCAGGGGTTGCTGCGAGGAGCACTATGATGATGTACTCCACAGTGAGAAACCACAGTCCCAGTAGTTAAGGGATGAGTTGCAAAGTCAGATTAAACACCACCACCAGACTTACTGAGGTTACAAAATTGAAAGTACAATTCCACCGATGTTTGCTACACTTTGTGGCTTTAAGGAGGACATGGGCCATGTCTCTCAAGCAACATTGCAAGTCCTGTGCACCACAGTGGGCAGGCAGGGGCCAGTCTCTGACTTGTGAGTCTCTAAGAATGACTTTCACCTGTTGATAGTGCCATGTCTCAACAGCCTCAATCTTGGGGGGTTGAGGCTGAAACACGTGCAAGCATTTCTGCAAATGTCTTAGAATCAGTGACCCCAAATTGAACCTGCCTTCATTTCAGAATCAAGTGGCTTCCAAGATAGTACCTGTTGTCATTCTGAGCTTGTTAGTCCCATCCCCCAGGAGCCCATCATTCAGGACATTCTTCAGGTGGCCTGCTTTCCCCTTGCCCAGCGGTCTGCACTGTTAGGTTGAACAGGATGGTTCTAGATCTCTGTCTTAGACGGTCCTAGATGACTGCTTCTTTCAGAGTTAGGATCAGTTTGTACACACAATCTTAATTTTCCCTTCCTTGCGCAAAGTTCCTGACTCAGTGTTAGGAGATCGGAGGGAGCTCAGTGGAGTGACGTCGAGTGGGTCCAGGTTTCCTTTTCGGAAATCTCAGAGGGGATGGAGGCTGAAGGAGCAAAGGTGCCGAGGTGAATGTTTCTTTCTACCAACAAAGCTCTCCACAGACTTGCCCTCGGGGAAGGCGGTGATGCTGTTGCCAGCTGAATGAAGCCCACTGAACTCTGCTGAGGCCCCTCTGGGCACTGGCTGGCAGCTCCTTGCTGAGGTGCCTCTGTCCTCCTTGTGCCTCTCCACTGAGGTCATCCGGGCAGCCAGAGGTGTTTCTAGATTAAGAGACTATGGTGACCATGATGAGATGACATGTGGAGGGTTTAATTTGAAGATCTGTCCACTGCCTTCAACCCTGGACCAACTTCTCACCAGGTCAGGCCAGAGAGAGTCTCTGGGAAGTATCGGGAGGCCTCATTCTCTCATGTGGGCTTGTCCCGTCCACACGTGTGCCACACGTTCATTCCTCCCTGGCAACCTGGATCCAAATGGGACCGCTTCTCAGTGACCAGAAATGACCCTTTTCCAAGATGTGTAGGTTCTTTTCCCTGTTACATATCTTCTTAGTGGTACCTAGTCCCAAACCACATTAGCCAAGATACCATGGACAAGTCTCTTAACTTTTCCGAGACTCAGTTTCCTTATCTGACAAATGGGAGAGTAAATCCTGCCCAGCATAGCTTTCATGTTGTTTTGTGGATCCAGAATAGAAACTCTCAGTCTCTTTATGATAAGGAGATACTTGAATTTCCCTTAAATCTCATGATCACCACAGGGCAATGTGCCTTGACAATGAAATGGCAGAAACGGGGAGTCAGAGCCTTCTTTTTCTTTCCCACTTTCTGTTCTTGTACTGCATATTTTTTTCAATCCAGAAAAATCCACCAGTAAATAAATATTTGTATATATAAATATATATATATGCTACATATAAGTACACACACCTAAGACCTTCAGTAGGGCCTTCAGGTCGTGCTCGGGGAGTGGTCGTTGCAGAAGCAGGAGGGAACTGCCTGACGCCTTGTCTCCTGGTCTCCTCAGCAAAAGGCCCTTCCCTCCCATCTTCTTTGCCTTCAGGAATAGTCTGCCACCAGGGCTTGGAACTCAAACAGGAAACACGCTGTGGCTTGAAAAAGAAAGAAGCTGGGGGTGGTTTTTTTTTTTTCTTCCCTTTTTACACAATATTATGACACCAATTTGAAAAATAAATCTCAGTTTCTCTGCTTTCCCTCCCAGGTGTTCACAGAACTAAGAAAATAAATACCACATCTAAGGTGTGCTATGTAGGCAGCTCTGGGGGCTCTTGGAGCCGGCTCTAAACAAACACACAGCCAGCAGAAGGTTTCAGGAAAATCACCAGTGCCCACTGAGAGTGCGCAGAACCAGGAAGGGAAACACAGCTTTCCACAGCCTTTCTGCCTCCTCAGCAAGTTCCGGGAGAAGCTGTCACTCGAAGGACAACCAAGAAACCAGCGTGCGTGTGCTGAGTCCTGCCAAGGGCTGCGATCTGAGAGTTGGAGGTGTTTTTGTCTCCTCACAGAGGGACCTTTGTGAGCGTCCCCTGGAACGCAGGCTTTTTCCCTTGGCCACATCCGATCTCCCCTTAGACAGGAAACCTGCAGCCTGCTCCTTGTGAGCGGCGAGGAAACTTGCAGCGGTGGTGGAAAGAAAGGGGGGGGGGTTTCTCCTTCAGTCTCAGAAAGTCCCGCTCAAGGTCTTCTGGGAAAGTGGGAGTTGCTGCATGAGCCAGCTGCACCCTGGAGGGCTCTAAGTCCATTCACAACGTCCTGCCGGCACTGGCTCTGTTGGAGTGTGTCCATGGTTGAAATAGAATGGATGTCAGGGTGAAGCCTTCTTGCTGAAGGGTGGCTTGGCTTCCACTGGTTGGAGAAGAGTGTGTGTGTGTGTGTGTGTGTGTGTGTGTGTGCGCGTGTGCACGCGCATGTGTGTGGTGTGTATGTGTGTATGTGTGTATGTGTGTGCTTCAGTTTCTTGTCTTCTCTCTTGGTTGAAGTGGCATTGGGCATAGTGTCTAGTCTTTTGAACGGCTCTTCCTTCTCAGAGAAAAGAAGCTGCTCTTCTGGGGGGGCCCCATCATCATAGGCGCTTGGTTCTTGTGAGTAATTTTAATCTAAAAGCAAAGAGGCAGAAATGAATTAGTGGCCTGCAAATCCCAGAAGCCTATGGGAGAGTGATCTGCAGAGAGAGGAAGGGAGGCCAGCTTCGGGCTGGAAGGAGCCCCATGCAGAAGGACGACTGTCCTTGAACAGCTTCAGAATTGGCAACTGGACCCTGACTGGGCCTGGCGTTTGGCACTGCTGGAAGCAAGGGGCGGAAACGCTGGGGAGAGACAGGTGTGAGCTTCCCACGTGGTGATCAGCTGAGCTGATCACCTGTCTCATGTCCTTGCTATTCATAGTCTCTCAGAATGTCACAGCCGGAGGAGACCTCAGGGACCATCTCATTCAACCCCTCTGCAGGATAGATAAAGGAATGGAGATCTCAATGCTCTCTTGAGCCTTGGATTAGCCTAAGGTCGCACAGAGAGGGCCGGAACAGCTAAAGCCTAGTTCTTTGGATTCCCCGCCTCCACTGCTCCTGGCCATTCCTGCCTGGGCAGTGCAGAGATGTCAACCAGTAACTCCAAACTGACCTAGAGGCTTCAGTCTGACCTCCGACCCAAGCGCTACTCATGTGGAAAGTTTCCAAGGGAGTCTCTTAGGCATTTCCTCTTTTAGACCCAAGTTTCTTTTAAAAGCTTTTATTTTTGTTTGAATTTTAGGTTTAATGAGTGCCTTCTCCTGCAAACTTTAAGTCAATTGGAAGTGAAAGACACTGGTGAATTCTCATGTTTTTGTCTTTCTTCCCAACCTTAGCCTCAGGGTATGGCTTCAAAATGCTTACTCCCTATTTGAATGTGGCCTGGTGACACTGATGCGTTGATAATCTGCATTGTCAGTCCAGCAACGTTTATCAAGTAGGAAGATGATGTGGGAACAAGAGGCACTTAGGATTCAAAGAGCTGGGTTTGGGTCCTAGGACTCCCCCTTCTTTGCTGTGAACCTTTGGACAAATCATTTAGCCTTCAGAAGCAGTGCTTGCGGAACCGTAAAATGAGGATAGTAGCATTTATTCTATTTTTCTCACAAAGTTGTTGCGAAGATCAAATGATAATCTGTCAATGAAAGCCCAATGTAAACTGTAAAATGGAATGCATCAGTTAAATAACATCTTACACTGGAGGACGAGAAAGATGCCTGTCAAAAGAAACACAATCTACGAACCCGTTCTCATGAGTTTTACCACCTATTGAAATGACAGTGTGACCCTAGAGAACAACAGAAGAACTCTTGAAGAGAGAGACCCATCAACAAGTTTAAATGTAGGATAAGCCAAGTGTTGTCAAAAAGAAGTTAGGGAAGGAATGAGAAGAACCTGAATGGAGCAATTGAGGAAGAATTTTAAGATCTGAAAGGAAGGGAAGAAAATGTGTTGGTGAAAGAGAAAGGGAAGGCACTAGGTTGAGGGGCTACATACCAGCAGGTTGCGTGTGGACCAAAGGATGAGAAACGAGGTCAGGAATACAGGTGGGGCAGTTGGTATAGGGCTTTAAAGGGAAGGAGGCAGCAGAGATTGGGTTTAATATGAGGTAGTGGGGAACCATGATAACTTTTTAAGCTGGAGGAAAACATGAAGAAAAGAGTTTGAAGGGAATTATTCAATAGCTGTTGTCAAGATGAGCTGGAGTTGGGAGGAGTCTGGCTAAGAGGGTTCTACTGCAAGCCAGGTTTAAATTTATAAGGCCCCAGGATACAGAAAGAAAAAGATGGGGCCAAAAGTCATTGTGCGGAATGAACATAACCTGGGGGAAGGAAGCTGAAAACGACTGTTAGGTTGGTTTCCATCAGCCTGGAAATCTAGGAGGGGAGTAAGTCTCTCTGTTTTGTGGTAGTCACCAGGGGAGCACACCAACGACACATCAAGTACCGTTTTGTGTTATGTGCCTTATTATGGGCATTGTCTTTATCTCAGAATTCAGGGAAGTGAGGAACTTATCTGTGGTGTGCAATTTAGCCCCATTTGATGGTAGGGATTTGTGGCACATTTCCTGTGGTAAGCCTTGTCCCACTCCTGAGCACAGGAGCCCTGAGAGGAAGAAGACATTCATCTTATTCACCTTGGTATTCCCTGAGCCAGCGCAGAGCCTGTACCTGCTATGGAAGTACTGACTGGTTAGCACAGCCAAGAAGAACGGGGGAATGTTCTGGCAGTGGAGCTGGCTGTTTTTGGGACAGAGAGTGGCAGCTGTGGCATCGCTTACATTTCCCACTGATGGAGCCCATTTTTTTAGACTGTGGAAGATCCTTGCTTCTCCTTTTTCTCCCTCTAGCTGACCAGTTTATTTGCTTGTTAGCACCTCCAGGGCAAAGGGGAGGAGGTGAAACTCAAATCCCTTTCATTTGGGTTTTCAGCAGTTTTGACAAAGGTCTTGATGGGGCAGGAGTTTGGAGATGCTGGGTAACGTGAGGTTTTGATGTGGTTTGTGGATTCTAGTTCTACAGATAACTGGGAGTTCACTGTATGTACGTACACACACTGGGGGCAAGAAGTATGAGGTCATGTCCTCATCTCGAGTCAAAGAAATGTCAGTATCTTACCCCCTCATCCCCAGATTAGGAGGGGCTAGTGGGTTAAATAGGTAAGATCCCATTTTAGGAGGTAGTTGGATGTGGTTAAATCTGCCTTTTCAACCCCTGATGGCAAGAGAGCATCCCACATTTCTGTAGTTAGAACCCAAACTTCTCTGGTCAGGCAATTAACTAAAGTCTGTATGATTGTCTTAAAAACCCTTCATCACATTTATAACATCTGGCAAGCACTAGGGACAGCAGCCCCATGCTCTTAGTTTTCTGTTTTATTACAGAGAAAATTTGTTAACAGTTAAACATGTCACATTTTCCTTAGGAAGTCCTTGTTCATAGTGTAATAATAGTCACCCATTTTCCCCTTCCCTAGGTAAGTAACATTTAATTCTTTAATGGAATTGGAGATTTTTTGGTTTTGTTTTTGGAGTATACTTTGAGGTGAGAGGTTACTATACAGTTATCCCTTGGTGTCCATAGGGAATTGGTTCCAGGACCCCTGGCGATAACAAAATCCACGGATGCTGGTTTTATACAAGTCTCTTGTGTAAGATGGTATAGTATTTGCATATAACCTATGCACATCCCGTATACTTTAATCATTTCTAGATTGCTTGTAATACCTAATGCAGCGTAAACGCTATGTAAATAGTTGTAAATATAATGTAAATGCTATGTAAATAGTTGCCAGTGCACAGCAAATTCTAGTTTTTCTTTTTGGAACTTTCTGGAATTTTTTTTCCTGAATATTTTCCATTCAAGGTTGGTTGAACCCAAGGATGCGAAGCCCATGGATGTGGATGGCCGACCTTATAATGGCACTTTCCCAAACAGGCAATTTCTTGGATACCATATGTTAAACAGTCCATTACTTTCAAATTAGTTTATGATCTTTCTTCTCTCCTTCATTAGTTTTTATGTATACTAGGGTTTCTTAGGGCTCTCTTCTGTACTATTTACTTATCTATCCAATATTGCATCAATTGCTGTGGCTTTATAACTATTTTAATATCTTGTGGGAAGTCCTTCACAGCTCTTTTATAAAATGCCTTAGCTATTGCATTGTTTTGTCAAGTTAAAAAAATTGCATTAGAATTTTGTCTGGGGGTCCCTATTTAGAAACATAGGATGTTTCTAAATTCAAATCTTTTAAAAAATATTACTTAAGTCTTGAAGTCTTCTTCATCTAGTTCTCACAATTCAGTTTGGTATTTTTTTTCTGTCTGTTGCCATTATAATACTTAAACTTTTTTCCGTTATATTCCTCTGATTGGTTATTGCTGGTATGTACAAAAGCTATTAACTTTTGTCTATCTTTCTGTACAGCTTCATTGAAATAATTTAACCTATGAGGTTTTCAGTTGATTTTATTAGCTTTCTATATACATAATTATATTATCTGCAAATAATGACAGTTTTGATTCTTTTCCAAATAGTTATATTTCTTTCCTGCTTCATGTGTTTTGCATTGGTTAGAACTTCCAAATAACATTAGCACACATGTCTTATCCATGATTTTAATGAGAATTCTGCTAGTGTGTTACATAAAATATTACTCATTGGTTTAAGATAGATATCTTTCGGGACTTCCCTGGTGGTCTGGTGGTTAGGACTCCATGCTTCCACTGCAAGGGGCACGTGTTTGATCCTTCGTCAGGGAACTAAGATGCTGCATGCTGTGTAGCACTGCCAAAAGCAAAAGGAGATTTTTTTTCTTTTTTTTTCTTTTGAGGAAGTGCCTTTCTGGTCTGAGTTTTCATCTTTAAAAATCAGAAATGTTGAATGTAATTGAGTATTTTGGGGTCATCTATTCATATTATCATGTGATTTTTCTATCCAAACTTATATAAGAAGACATCCTTGCACTCCTTTGATATATTCTTCTTGAGTGAATGATTCTTTTAATATATTGTTCAATTCTATCTGCCAATACCTTAACTATAATTTTTGTACCATGTTCATATTTGAGATTGGTCTGTAGTTTTCCATTTTTAAGCATAGTTTTTGTTAGGTTTTTGTATCTGTCTTAATTTTATCAAATGGATTGGGTAGCTTTCTATCTTTGTTCTATGGAACAGTTTACATAAATATTTATTCCCTAATAATATGGAAGAACTCACCAGTAAGATCATCTGTTTTAAGATCATTGTGGATGTAATTCTTTTTTTTTTTTTTTTTTTTTTTTTTTTTTT